AAAGAGTTTTGCCTCTTTTTATGAGGTTAGCACTTTCTTGCTTCACGGCGTGACATATATACTAAGTCGGTTAGGGTGAAGTTGAAGTGCTCAGATGTCTGTGATCGAGTGGCCAGGTTTATTGAAGTGCGAAGGGACTGCCGGCTGTGGAGGTAACGTGGAGTGGATTTTTCGTTGCCTGTCTATGTTTCACGGAGCGTGTGTCCAGCTAATTTCACCAATGGTATTGTTTTCCACACCATGTACAATCAGTCATATATGTTAGTTTTGTTGAGTCACAAGTAATGTTATGTTTTATTTGTCTTGTGTCTCCCGTGTTGGTAAAAGTGTATGACGTTCTTCCATGGTATGTATGGGCTGGTGAACCCGGGACGGCGAAGGGGGGTTACTTTAGGAATTTTTGGGTGGGATGTGCCGCTGGGACCCTGGAACCCTTATACCAGAGCTAGTTCAGCTGAATCTTGCTACCCTTATACTAGAGTAAACTCCACAAATTCCCCCCTATCCTAGAGTAGCTGTTTTCCAGAAACAACTGAGGTCACTAGCACAGTGCAGCCAAAACAAAACCGATTGATTTGAGTGGCAATTTCCGGTTTCTCAAGTCTAGACTAAACTCTTCAACCAATTGATGAGTTTCCTAGAAAATGATAGCCTACCCAAACTCTCTGACTTATATACGTATCAAACTTTGCCGTTCAGGTTGCATTTTTGAAAGACAATAATGCTTTTGTTTAATTCTCACATTCTTTTTTTACTTAGTAGTGGTTTAGTGGGGCAAAAGATTTAAGCGGGACACAAAACGATTAAAAAGCCGTGAGATCGCGCATTGAATAAAGCTTTATCCACTCATGAAGCCCGCGTAAAAGAAAAACTTCGTTAACTGGGAACTTAAGTAAATAAAACAAATAATTAATATGGTCAGAGATATCGACAGAAACGCTCATATTAACTGAAAGGCATCTAATGGTTCTGTTCGAGGCTTTGACTACTTTGGCCTCGTCCACCATTCAAGTCCATAAACCACAGCGTACAAGCCAAAATTTAAAATTTGTAGCTCACATACGTATTTTCAGGACAATATATTCTGGTGCCTTAACATTTTATTCTCAGAATAACTAGTTGAACGTTTGAAAGTTTAGTACTGCGAGTCGGCATTGGTACAGCGGAAAAAGATTGACCTAATAGCACCTTTTCTTGTTTGAGTGACTTAATTGTTTACAAACGGCTGACTGACACCATTACTTTTTATCGGGTACCCCGAAATCACCGTGGAGAATGTATGGCCTAAACTTGGTTATTTGCTGATGACCCTTTCAAATACGAAAAAATTAAACTAGCTGGTTGAATGCAGAGGTCCACGCAACACGTAAACATAACTGAGTGGTTCCTCTTGCCGGATCTCTAATTTAACAGATGCTGTAGTCAGACGTCACATAAAAGTGTAAAATAAAACAGAACTGAATGCAGGGCTTGCACTACGGCAAAGGGCTGATTGAGGGGTTTCTTTTCTTGACATAATGGGACACACCCAGAGTTAACTGCTTGAAAACCATACCCTTCACAGCGGCACATACCTATATAGCCCATATATGGCAGTACCCTGACCACTGGCAGGTGAGACAGCCGTGACTGGAATTGAAGCGGAAAGTGCCAGCAGGGAGCTTGGATGTCTTGTCGGTGTTTGTGAGTTTCGCATGAACGAGTAGGTCACGAAAGTTTGGGGAACGAACCGGCAGAAAGCGACGACAGGTACTTCTTGGAAAACGTTTCTAAAACGTTCAGTAGAGTGTAGAATGGCTTGTTTCTTGCGGAGAATGTCCTGAATGTTAGGTATAGCTGGGTTATAGAAAATGGACTCAGTTAGTTGTTTCTCGGCTTGTGGCGTGTTTTTTCTCCTTCAGAGCTTCGTTACGGGACATCTTTTGTATCACTTGCAGTTAACGTTACTAAGTATCAAACCTTAGAGAGATTAGAGACCTTTAGCATCAGGCAAACCGCAAACCGCAAACCGCAGTTACGCGTTTGCAGTTTCGCGCTGCCGAGATTTCAAACTTTAGCAAGGCGTTCAGTTCAGTTCAGTTCAGTTCAGTTCATTTTTATTTAGCTAAAATATAATACAATACAAGAATACAGGTAGGAATTGTAAGATTGCAAGGGAGTCCAGAAGAAACCAGAAGGCTTTATGAAGCCTGGGCTCCCCAGTCTCTCAGAAATAAGCAAAATAAAATGAAATTCGCGGAGTGATACGTTAAAAAAAAATAGGGACTAAACAGAGACTGAGTTAAGCTATGAATTCAGTAACAAGATAGAAAAAAATTTAACTCTGGATTGGAACAGAATACTTTCCTTTGTTAGTACGGCAGAAAGGAACATAAAATTGATTTGAACTACGCGTTCATTGTTTAGGGCCGCCATGTTGTTTTCATCAAGTCGAAGTGCATCACTTTAATCGCCCAAAAATCAGCAATAATTCATTGATTCGAGGTCAGAAATGCAACAAACACATCGCAAACGGATATATAAAGCTAGTTCATACCTTTAAACGCGAGGCTGTACAATTTTTTGTGGCAAAAAACCTTGCCGTAAATCACTTACCGCTGGAAGCCCTTCCTGCGGTTCAAACGTGAACTGCAAACTGCAAACGTGACCGCAAGGCCGTGGTCACGTGACATTTTGCGGTTTGCGGTTTACAGTTTCCCATGAAAACCCTGATGCTAAAGGTCCCTATTAACTGATTCACGTTTACCGCAAACGGCAAAAGGCAGATTCAAGTTGAGAATTTCTCAGAATAGAAAATAAGCAGATAAAAACAGTCCAGAAGGATTCTTATAATTATGGATAAACCTGGTATAAAACTACTTATTTTTGTTTAGAAGCAATAAACAGTAAACGAAAAACTGAAGCGGAAACTTGGTCACGTGGTACAAATTCACGTTTACCGTTTGTCGTAAACGTGAATCTTAATCCAGCTTAATCTCAACCTCGTTCCCAGGGTTCTCTCCTACCCTCGCTCCAAGGGGGCGGGTAGGAGAGAACCCTGGGAACGAGGTTGGCTTAATCTCTCTATTGGCCGTTATTAAACTAGCGGACGGATTATCCGTCCAGACGGATAAGACCGTATAATGCGTCTATAGAGTACTAAAGTGATGACGTCATAAACATGAAATTTCTGAAATTATGGGATTTGTCAGGATATTCTGAAAGAACAATGTCCAAGAGGCCTACTTGCTAAAAATGAGCATTTCGCGGCAAATTGTCTCTGAGATCGTAGCCCAGTTATACTCAGAAAACTCCATACAAACCCTTCTAATTTTTTTTTGGGTCGACCCAAAAAAAATTTAGAAGGGTTTGTATGGAGTTTTGTAAGCATAACTGGGCTACTATCTCAGAGACAATTTGTCCCCAAATGCTCATTTTTAGCAAGTAGGCCTCTTCGACATTGTTCTTTCAGAATATCCTGAGAAATCCCATAATTTCAGAAATTTCATTTTTATGACGTCACACATTAGTACTCTATTGCGATGTATAATGTTAAGGGTAGCTTACACATAACGGTTTGTCGGTCCGACTTTGTAAAGAAAACATTTTTTTAAAAAACAAAACCGGCCTAATTTACCATCTTAAAAGCTACTCACTCAAAAAGGTTTTACAACTTGGTATAAAAATGTCCCCGTCGTTGCTCGAAGAAAGGGTTAATTTCATTTATTTACCGGAAATCCTCTATTAAGCTTCCCCTTCTCAAATTAGACTGCAGTTGCAAACTAAAGTTACTGCCAAGAAACACAAGAACGCGAGCCGCGATAAACCAGGGTGTAAGCCCGAGAAGAGAAAGTCCTTATCCCTTTTTGTAACATAACGTCGTTGTTTGCAATCGCGCTGGCTGAGGTAAGAACTAGACTGATTTTAAGAGAAAAGGCGGACTGCAAGCAGCCTACTCTCAAATAAACCTCCTCTCTCATAATGCGTCTCTTCAGGCGAACAAATTACATAAGCCCTCCCCTCTGTCGAGTCCCCCTTCCCTAACCCGGCAATTATTATTCTTCAGATCGAAGTGGATTATTTACGTGCTTAACTAAATACTTTGCATAAAGTAACCCGTGCTTACGGTTTGATAAACTTCTCTCGTCGCGAACAATCAAGAACTAGGCAAAGAAAAAAAACCCTGGCGCTTAAATAAGTCCCCCCCCCCCCCCCCCCCCCCCAAACCCCCCCCCCGCGGGCCACCCCGGATACACCCTGTATTTATTTTTTTTTTTTTAACTTTTTTTTTTTTTTTTTATTATAGGTGTGTGTGTGTGAGTGTGGATTATGCTGTTGTGGGGGAGGTCTTGTATAATCCCCCCTCCTGTCCATCCCCCTTCCCGACCCCGCGAAGTGTTCTTTTTTAGGCCTAAGGGGATTTTTTACCTCGTTAACTAAAAACTTTGCCAAAAGGAACCCGGGCTTAGGGTTTGAAAAACTTTTCCCGGCCCGAAAAAACAAAAAATAGGCAAAAAAAAAAAACCCTGGGCCTTAAAAAAGCCCCCCCCCCCCCTCCCCAAAATAAGCCCCACACGGGGGATTCATTGAGTATTCAGTATCTATTTATTTATTTATCTAATCATTTTTTTATTTATTTACCTGTTTTATTATCACCAGCGCTGAACAATTCTTTTCTTTAACTGCCGTTACCAAATCAACGTGGTACCAAATCAGTGATACATACACGATAGTCATATCATAGAACTACTAGGCTGGGGAGGGTCAAACTCTTTGGGATGAGATGGTATTCGGTGGTATCGGTTTTTGACTAAAATATTAAAAAAATACATACTAATTTACTTCCATGTATACTTATTGTAATATTTGTTGCAAACTGACAACAGCATAGTGCAAGATGTTGATAAAATTCTGGAAAAAAATGATTGTTGGAATTGTCCCTTCCTTCCCCACCCACACAAGAATGGGTGTTGTTGACCAGCGGTTCCAGAAACTACTTGATAAGATGGCGCTCAAATGAAATGACTACCAGTTCAACTACCCGATTGTACGTCGAATCCACCGATTATTCGTCGACTATGCCGTACGAGGCAGTCCCACTTAATAATCTTGGCACAAATGGTTACAGGAAGTTGAGAAACAACGGTAAAACGCGATCGAACACTGAAGAAGAGGCAGGTTACGGATCCACTAACGATGACACACCTCTGATGCCAGTTGTTGTCGATGACGGTTTCGACGATGAAGAAGGCTATTCAGAGGGTTATCAGTCCGATGTCGGTGCTAAAGATAGGAAGAAGCGGAAAAGGAGGAGAGATAAGGAAGGTTGCTGCAAACGCTGTTTTAAATTCTGGTGTTGTTGTGGATTTCTGTCTTCCTGTCGAAGGTGAGAAATACGTCTAAGATCACAAAAATATCAACATAAATGGGAAGGAAAAGCCTGATTTTGGTTAGAACCTTTACTTGTTACTGATTTATTGTTTTGATTACTAGCTGTCCATTGATTACACTTGAGGGAGCCACAAAATGAAATATGAGGGATATATGAGGCCGAAATGAACATATAGTACATATTTAAACTTAATTAACAAGCCATTTTATTGAAATGAGCTAAAATTTAAATAAATTTGGGAATTAATTTTGGTCTTAGCTCTTTTTTTTCAATATCGCTTTGATAGTTGATGTTTTACTCGCTAAACCCTGGTCAGGGATATAAGCATATCTCTTTAGACTTTAATTTGTAGGCCCTGACAGTTTGACATCATTGAAGACCAGTCTCTGCTGAGGGCAACGCAATAAAATTTTTTTTTTACTTTGCTGGAGATAGCAGTAGAGAACTTATAGACCTCAAGTCTGTGTTCTAACAAAAATAGAAGGGAGCTCTCTGCCCTGAACTGCTGCTAGGGCCAGGACGTTACATGTCGATAATTTTAATATTTGATTTAAATCGATTGTTGTTGGTAAATGTTGATACTGATCAATCAACAGATACATGAAATTGATAAAAGTCAATCATAAAATTTCCTGTGATTATCGAGGTTATATCAAAATTGGTGTTTGAGTTTGATTTTTATCTGAAAACTATTGGTAGATGAAAAGGATCAGAAGCAACAGTTTCAGTATCTATAAGCAAATTGTTAGCATCCGTTCAAAAAGTCTTGCGCCACTTTTAACTTGGAGGAAGGATTTTCTTGAAAGTCTACTTGAGCTTTTGCAACATTCGTTCGAATGGATTTTACAATGTATATCCATTTGTAACTGAGTAGCATTCTTGTGCATTCAAAGAATTGGTAACATCCAAATCCTTCTCCTTATGCAACATTTGTGTAAAGTTCACATAAATCCTTAGTAGATATTTTCTGAAAAGTCTCAGAAGTCTATCAATTGATCATCTATCTTGAGAACATTGTGGTTATCGACTTTTATCGACAAATTAAACAAATCAATCGACAATTATTGACAAATATCAAGCACTATCGACTAATATCGACTAGCTTTTCATGACTGATTTCTATTTAACAAGTAGATTCCACATTGTAATGCGTTTGTTCAGTAATAGATCACAGATGACGTCAAAATGTGGTAAAAAAAAAGAAGTGGCACATGAGCCACAGATGAGTGTGTCACTGATGTTTTTACTACACTTTGACTTTTTCAGTGACCAGTTACAGAACAGACTCACAGCAGCTTGGAATCTATTTGTTTTATACAATGAAGAGAGAAGAAAAAATTGCCTGGCTGTTTGAGGACTTGTGCTAGTTTAGGCATTTTTAAGTCCAAAATGCTGCTTTTTGTCTCAGTTCTTCTTTACTTCTTTACACAGTTTCTCCAAATAGTTTTTTAATGCCTTCACTTGCTCAAAGTAGAATAATCGCAAAAATGTTTTGCAAATTATCTACAAGTCTCTCATAGCAATGACATACGGTGGCAATTGTACATTGTGAAGATTTCTTGCAGTTTAGGCATTCTCAAGTTGTCAAGAACTCTTTTTGTTTCCCTTTTTTTCCTTTTTCTTCTTTGTAAATGGCTCCTGCTAAACTTTTTTGGAGGCTTTCACTTGTTTTATCCGAAATAATCTCACAAACATTTTCAAAACCGCGTGCCGTGTTGAGCAAAACAAAGAAGACAAAGTTTCCTGTGACGTCATCCATGTATAGATCTGTACTCTAATAGATTATGGGCAATGACCAATCTCTTAGAGCATAGCATTCACATTATTGTATGATGACATGTAACGTCCTGCTAGAGCAAGTCAGCCTTGAACTTATGCCCTGATGTTGCTGAAGTCTGTTACATGTATTATTTTTTCTGCACAGCTGCTTTGATAGACTAATGGGAAAAATTGAGATGAAACCAAGAACAGTTGTTTTAGGAAGAGAGGTTTGTTAAATTGACAGTAACTTTTATGGCTTTTAGTAGTTTTGACAGTAGGGAATTAAAAAGGCAAAAATTTGATTTTTTCAAGGTAATGAAAATCTACATCATTGTGTAGGTAACAGAATCCCTTATTAAAAAGTTTTCCTTTAGAAAGAATTATTTTATTATACAGTCCTGGGGCTGCATTCATTATGTATACTGCAGTGGGGGAAGGGGGGGGGGAGTGGGTGCTGGGGGGAAAGAGATATTTTTTGAGGGGGAAAAGTTTTTTCATATCCCCTCACATCATACAGAGTCTTTTGACACCCCCCCCTCTTGACCCAAAGAAAAAATGACACCCTCCCCGTCAGTCTTAATGAGGAAAATAAAATATAGGCAATATGATAAAATGTTGCAGAGATTAATGTTTAAAATAGAAAACTAAAAACAAAAGGTAACCAAATTAAAGGTTCACAGATTTTAGTATTTCTGGTACAAAGAGTAGATTAAAGAAGAGACTGAAGCTAGCTAGTGTGTACCTGATCCTGGCAAATTGCATACCAGAGCCATGTGGCAGGTTAGCTTCAGTAATAAATGTAATCGTCCCTGGTTAGGTTAAATTTGCAACCAAGACTAGTAAAGAACAAGCCCAAGTGAAAAGAAGACAAACGAAGAAAAAGCCAACAAAAAGGCAGATGAAAAGCTATACAATCAACTCTCTCTAAGACGGACACCTTTGGGACCAGCACTAGCTGTCCATCTTAGAGAGATGTCCATCTTATAGAAAGTCAAATAGAGGGAGCAAAGAAAGGCAGGGACCAACTCTAGGTGTCTGTTTTACAGAGGTGTCCGTCTTATAGAGGTGTCTGTTAAGAGAGAGTCGACTGTATAGCTGGTACTAAAAGAAATTGAATGACCTGATCAGTTAAGCACAAAAAGAAAAGGGAATAGGCCATTTTACAGTTATGGATGGAAGCGAGGTTGAGGGTGACCTTGTTTTGATACAAACCTTCTTTGCTTTGTTATGGAAATAACTAGTCAATGTTATTGAGTAAGTGAAAGTATTGACTGTTCGAAATACTTTATTTTTTTTTAGTCTGCTACACAGCAGTTTCCTCGTAATGTTATTCGTAACCAAAAGTACAATATCATCACTTTTATTCCATTGGTAAGTATTTGAAATATTTCTGTAGTCTATGGTATATTGGATGTAAATTTTCAGGACATAAGTGGCATGAAAGATTCATGATGCCATCTGTGGCCCAGTTACTGTAACATCAAACATAATGCAGTACTGTATAGCGTGTAAGAAGGATCTTGGTCTTTCCAGAAAGACATGAAGATTCAGTCCAGGGCAACACAGGGTTGTCATTAAGAGCCGGGGGCTGGGGATTTTCCCCGGCTACTAAGAGAGTGACCCCCGGCTACTTTTATTGGAAAATAGAACAAAAATAGAACCAAAAGAAATCCCTAGCCGTTTGATTCCCCGCCTACTTGTTGTATTTACCCGGCAACTTGAAATCTTAGTGACAACCCTGGCAACAGCCAGATGTTTGCTTGGTCAATTAATATGTAGTCTTTGCTCAGAGTCTTGGTGCCTGAAGAATGGTTAGAAATAAGCAATGTTGCTGTGAATAGCCTGCAAAATTTAAGCAGCCCAGCTTCCTCTTTTTTCTATGAAACTCTTGTCCTCATTGACAGCAGAATCTTGCAATTCTCATAATTGATGCCTTTTTTGCGGATTCTTTGAGGGCCCTACGTGTACTGAACAGTGTATAGGCAAACAAGGGCCAAGGCTTTAAGGGGCAATTAACAAATGAAACACTCCCCAAAACAGTTTAATGTACAATAGTTTTTCAGATTCAGTACATGTATACCCCTAAGCTTTGCATACAGGGCTGTATTAATCCTGTTTAGGCCTTTTGAGAAGATGTTACACTGTATTTGATATCTATTAAAAGCAAATATCCTTCTTTGGTTTTCAGACCCTATATAACCAGTTTAAAATCTTCCTGAACATGTACTTCCTTGTGGTAGCTACTTCACAGTTTATTCCTGATCTTAGAATTGGAGCACTGTATACTTACTGGGGGCCACTGGTAAGCATAGTTAATTAATTAATCAATTAATCAATCACCATAAACTGCTGCATTTAAGGCCTTGGCTTATACCTTATATCTTCGTAAGGGGTTTTAGGGGGGCTCATGAATGGAGGAACATATCGGACAGGACTTATAACTGGAATAGGAAAGGCACTTAAAATCAAGCTACAGCAATGCTGATCAAAAATTGTTTTGCATTTGCTGGATTTTCAAAACATCATAAATATCAAATATGAAAGCAAGAGTTGGGCTTATATCTGAGGGCAGGGGGTTGGGAGGTGGGGGTGGGGAGTGGGGGCTTTTTATTGGATGTATTTTTTTTCAGGTTGGTGGGCCTATAACTTTGGGGCTTATAAGTGGCAGTTTATGATAATAATTATTTATGTAGTTAATTTATTCATTTCTTAATAGGGAAAATTAAACTAAAAGTTTTTAAATGCTCTTTACATTATTAATTTTAAAAAAAACTTATAAATGGATACAAATTGATTTAAAAAAAAAACATTGCAATCAATGATATTTACACTTTTATTGTATTGTACTATATTATGAAATAAATGATTAAAATTTAATATTGCATTGTAAATCCCATACAGCTAAAATAGTGATAAGGTAACGCTAAAATAACTTTAGATAAGAGCGTAAATAGATAAGTTAAAGTAAGCTTTTTGAAAAGATGTATTTTAAGCATATATGGTTACTTTTCATCAGTATAACTTGAAGTTCTTTTTAATTTACTTAAAACAAATGTTTTGATTGTCTAGAAAAAACTCGAGCTATTTTTATCTGTTTTACAGGCTTTTGTTGTGTTTGTGACAATGTGCCGTGAAGCTTATGATGACTTTATAAGGTTTAGAAGAGATAGGGAAGTCAACTCCCAAGAGTACAAGAAACTTACAAAGAAAGGTCACTATTAATGATAGTATTTAGTTTTTGGTCACAGTACACCATGTAGGAACAGAGCAAGAAGTCATTCGTCGTCACACAGAAGTCGAAAATAAACTAATCTTAGCTAATTCAGACTTGGGGTTTCATCAACACTATTTAATTGTCATTGTAATCACCATCACAACAACTTGAATTCCAGCTTGTCCTTTAGGCAAGCAGCTCGCACTGACATGTTGCTTGCCACGGCCACTTCTTGCTCTTCTTAGTTAATTTTGTTAGAGGATGACTTGCCTGGACCTTCATAAAACTTACTGTACTTGCTTAGAAGAAAATTTGCCTGTCCTCTATGATCAGAAAGGACTTTTTTCAAGCCCTGCATCATTACTAATTTTCAAGGTTTATTATATTATTATTATTTAGACATGCTTCCTCAATCAAATAAATAATTCTTGACCTGCAGAGCCTTCCCCCCCCCCCCCCCCCCACCACACAAC